AAAGGGACCATCCCAGGAAGATAAGAATGATGTTTTTCCACTGGTGTTTTGCAAGCTGACTTCCTTCTTTATTCTGCCAATTTTCCAGAGAAGAAAGCTGCCTTTTCTCTGGAGGCTGGCAGGAGCCGTGGGGAACTGAAGCACGCTCCCCTGCTCCGTACATAACACCCCTTCAAAGCAAAGCAGGGGCCGTGTGCTGTGTGGGACCTGGGGGAGCTGGTCCTGCGGGCCAGGCTTCTGGTGGTGACCCCGCCCTTTACCTGCTGTCTCTAAGAAGTCACTCACCTCAGGGAAGGCTGGGGTAAAGGAACAAAAGAATAATATATATTCCTCTCCTTCAACTTGTGTCGAGTCTGAACCATTCCTGTCTTCAGAGACAGAGAGAAGCTCTGTTTTTCCTCTTCTTATTGAAAGGAGACCTAACACGTGTTACAGCAAGCCTTTCCTGGAAAAGTGCATGGCTTGGTGCTGACTGACGTGTAAAACAACCTCGAAAGCAAAAGACCTGCTCCAGATCGGCCCCCAGCAGGCCCCTCTCCCCCACTCCACATTCATCGCTGGGAGGCAGCACTGGGGGTCAGGGTCCCCGCCCCTTACAGATCACCCGCAGCCTCCTTGGGCGCCGGTGTCCGGACTGGAGCAGCCTGAAACCCACCTGCCTGGACAAACGTGCTCCTTGTTTTCTACCACATCCCCTCCTATACCGAGGCATTTGGTCAGTTTGCAACACAGATTTCGGGCTATTGTATCTTTAGAGCAAAACAAATGATAAAATAGTAATAACACAAGGCATTCAAGCTAGTCGGTCCCCGTGGACGAGTCGCTAAAGAAAACAAAACTTGCCTTAGAAGCATCCTAGTCCTCAAAGCTCTCTTTCTCTAATTTCCACTTTTTTTCAGACTTTCTCGTGCAGCCTGCGGGCTTGGAGCTGCAGAATTTAATCAGTTACCTTAGAACCAGAGTGGACCAATTAACCAGTTGACTGGTTAAGCAGTCCTTGGAGTGAGGGCTGCGGAAGGATCCTTGCTCAGAACGGACTCCATGTACACTCCTGAGAACGTTCCTGGGTTCGCGTGGTGCACTCTCTGACATCTGTCTCTCCTTACACTTGTAATTTTTAAATCTTTCCCCCATCTATTAAAAAACATGTGTTTATTGTAAAAACAAAAGTTCAAAACTGGAACAAAGGTCTCCCATCCTCCTTCTAAGAGAAGCCGCTTCTGTTACCAACTCAACGTGCATTTCGTGCAGACCCTTCCCACGCGTCTGCGGATGGGACTGTTTCTGTGCACATGGAATCCTAGCAAAGTTTTGTGCTAGGAATGGCTGCTTTGCATCTACAGTCAGTCCTGGACGTGCTTCCACTTGAGTCTGCTCACAGCCTGGCCCTTTTTAAAGGCCGTGTCGTATTCCATCACCTGGATGTGGTGATTTAACTCATGTTCCTGTTGGTGGGTGTGGAGGGTGTTTCCAGTGATTTCATCGACTTGCAAGCAGGGTTGCTGTGGGGGCACAACTCCCACACTCACCCACACTCACCCACAAGAGCATACCCACACTCACACATGCAAGCATGTCTGTAGGAAAATTTCCCACGGCTGGCGCCCTGACCCAAAAGACAAGCCCACGTTTCTCAGTGTGGAACTCGTCAGCATGACTAACTTACCCCATTCTCATCTCAGACATACCGCCCAGAATAAACCAGCCCACGGAGACCAGTGGTCACTGAGGCCAGAAGCCCCTTCATCCTGCCTCCGAATCTCATCCAGGGTGAGCCCGAGACATGAGTCCTTACCACAGATGCTGGCTTGTGCCACGACCAACTAAACACCTCAGGGCTCTGCATGCAGTCCTGGGGAGCTGGCTGTCAGCGGTCATCAGTATCACCAGAGCTGTGCTGAGGACACTCGGTATCTAAGAGGCTGCTAACAGGGCTCCGTAAATCAGAACTGAACTAATGTCACCACTCCCGTCATCCCAGCTCAGTAGACGTCATGAGCAGACTCAGACTCAGTCCAGGTCACTCCTGGGGTGGACTGCACGTCATGCTGCCGTGACTCCAGGGGCTGCCAGCAGGTCTAAGGTGTTCTGGCTGCCCGGCAGGATCAGGAGGTCTTTCAAAAGGAGGGACACTCAGGACCTTTTGGAGGGACCCCGGGCACTGAAAAGGCAACGTGCCAGGTTGATTCTAATGCGCAGCTGGGCTGAGATGGCCTCACTCCTGGGGGCCTGGCTGCTCTCGTGACAGGCTGATCACTGCCCAGGACTCTGCTGGCCCCAGGAGCTCCAGGTCCCCCGGAAGCAACAGAGCCCCTACCCTGCGGGAAAAGCCGGGGGCTTGGAGGCTCCCATGGACTTGGACCTGAGTGTCACTTTTGTTCCCCCCTGTCAGCAGGAAGAAGGGACACTCACCCTGGCTGTGTTGTCAGGCTGCTCTGGCCACAGAGGAATGGCCCCTCTAGCGCCAGCCCTGTGGTCGTATTGCAGTCTCTTTTCTCCTTTATTTGCGAATTCTTCTAAGGAGACGCTTGATCAGTGGTTCCCAGAAACTGGTCCCCAGCCAGTGCGAGCCCATAATGAAATTTTCCTCCGTCTGTGGTAAAAACAAGAAAAACAGCGCCAGAGGATGGTTCTTTCGGTAAGGCTAACGAGAGTTCACCAAGAAGGCTGCCCTTCTTTCGGAGAAGGTTCCTACCACTCTGTCCAAGGGAATAATGACCTGCCTGTGCACTTCTCAGGTGGAGGGCTCCCTGAGGGACTTGACTTTTTGTGATCCAAGGGTGACCCAGCCCCTGCCCCTGCCCCCCACCCCTGCCAGCAACCTGGAAGGCAGAGGGTGGTTCTGAAGGCCTCAAAGGGCTGAGCACAGCAGAAGGGGCCCTGCCCCACTGGGGGCTGGGCCAGACGAGGCCCCCACCTTCTCCTGGGACACTGGCTGCAAGGCTTGGACAGCCCTGGCAGGAGACGTGAGTAGTGTCCCTCCCCTCTCTGGCCACCTCCCTGGACTCCCACCCCCCATGAGAGCCTGAGCCGGCACCCTCACACAGGTGTGGGCGATGTGCAAAGCCAGGTGCTCTCGGAGGCCAGATAAACTGGAGCGAGGTAGCTTCTGGCTTTTTTCGTCCCAGTTGCCGATGATTATCTTGCTTTACCTTTAGTCCATCTTTTGGCTGATGGCCACCATAATTACACCCATTATGAGGATGAAAATGTGGAGGGATCCACATTGTCACACAACTAAACGGTCTCAGCACCAGCTCTGCATAGGGGCACCCAAGTGGCTGAGGAACACGAATGTGTGGGGTGCCCACAGACCCATGACTCAGAGTCCTGGGAAGCCGGCCAGGGCCCTTGCTGGCAGCCAAGACAGGGAGGACCTCAGTGAAAGTGTGTGCAGCCTCCCACCGCCCAGGCTCCTCTGGCGCCCCAGCCCCTGCCCCCACCAGACTGAGGAGGGAGCAGGTGCACACTGGTCTCAGGACAGGCGTCCTGGCAGCAGCATGGAGCTCCTGCCCTGGCTGGTGCTGTACCAGGATTGGCAGGCATTTCCCCACCTGATGTCATATTGATGAAATATTTACAGTGAAACTTGGGAAGGCTGCCTGAGGTCCCTGCTCCCCACAAGGTGAATCCTAGGAAACAAGAGACCCCCGGTGGCTTCCAGGCACCTGGAACCTTCAGGAGCAGTGCTGACCACAACCTTGGACCCCCTGGGCCACCCAGCAGTACCCTCCACTCTACCCCTACCCCATGCTCAGGGGTCACTGGACAATTATTGAGTTTCTCACCAGAGCAGAGTCACTGCCCTATGTCCCTTCCCTGGCCAGGCCTGCCTCCCCTACAGTCAACAGAGACCCAGGTCAGCCACCCCTAGCCTCTCTGGGCAGAGGCTTCCAAATCTCAGCTGGCCTTCGCCACCTCACATACCTGGTGGGGGACCTCAGTCTTCCCCCCAGGCCCCATGACAGAGGAAGGTGCCAGCTCCCTTAGGGCCTTGGAGGGAACGCTTCTGGTTGCAGAGCTCTCACACACATCAGGCCACCTGATGACCAGAGAGAAACCCAGACCGTGCCCTCTCCCTGCAGAGGCCATTGGGGCTTCCCCATAGCGCTCAGTTCCCCCGGGCGCCCGCCCACTGCACACTGCAGCCTCAGTGGCCTGGTCCTGCTCCCCTGCCCTCTGTCCCTGACGCCACTTCTCAGCATCTCAGATGTGGAGGTCTTCCCCAGCAAGGGGGCCAACAGGAGGGGCCTGACCCTGGGTCGGCCCTGTAGGTCAGGAGACCAGTGCAGCTGCTCCCCACCTCTGTCCCACGGGAGACGGGTGGGGCAGAGCCGGGCGAGGCAGAGCTGGGTGGCACCCAGCAGGGGGCCTAGTCGCCATGCCTGCTGCAAGCGTCCTCCTCTCTCCGCTGGCTCTCTTGGATCTCCTTTCATCATCTCATTTCCCACATCTGGTGGGGGTAGAAGAAGCAGGCCCGTGGCTGTGGGCCCTCGGGGTTCAGCATGTAAAGACTGAGCCCCCTTTCTAGGGGAGCAGAGAGATAAAACCTATGGGCCCAGGACAGTCCCCTGGGGAGGCCTTAATGGAGGCTCCTCCTGCACAAGCCCCCTCAGGAGAAACGTAGCCGTGCGCTGAGTGTGGGGAAGAGAACCGGAGGAGCAGGCCGTGAAGATGAAGGGCCGCAGCTGGAGTGGGCGTGCTGTGCTTTGTTCTGTTTTCACCCTTGAGAAGCAGAGCTCTTTGGTCCATGTCTCATTCCCACAAAACATGCCAAGTGTCTGATTCCTCGTCAAGGCCAGAACGGTGACTGGGGGCAGACAGACTCTGGTCAGTCAGCTCTGGCGGCCTAGGAGGATGCGTCCTGAGGCACCAAGCGATGGCCAGCAAAAGCTGAAAGCAGGCAACCGGAGTTTGTTCAGAGAGAGACTTTAATGATGCTCTTGAGAGCTGCAAGCATTCAAGTTAAAGAGATGACTTCTGCCAGGAAAGAAATGTTTAATGCCAAGTGTCAGCATACAGAGAAGAGGCGCCCTGGGAGCCCGGAGGCCGGAGGGATTGCCCAGGGTCCAGGAGCTTCAGAACCACTCGTCCTCACCTGGGGGCATCAACCAGGTGACCAGCGACCAAGGGAGGCACTCAGGCAGTGTCCCCAGCTTGGGAAACCCAGGGTACTTGAAAAGCCTAGGAGAGAAAAGAGAGCAGTTCAGTTTGATAGAGTAGCACAGTAGGCACACACCTACTGTGTGCCCTGAATAAGACAGGGCCCCTGCCCTCTGGGACAACATGACACCCTCAGTAATTTTAAGTTACTGAGGGGCTAGTTGGGGGTCTGGTGTTCTAAGGTGCTGAAGCCAGGCTGAATCATGGCCCTGTATGAGCTCCTGCCTCCCACAGCTGTGGCCACTTGGAGTCACCCGTCACAGTCTCCCCTTCCCCTGCCTAAACCTGCTTGTAAGGGCACCAGGGCAGATGGCCAGGGAACCTTTTATCTTGTGCCTGGACGACCACAGCAAGAGGACTAGGGTCAGGGACCTTGTTTACAGAAGAAGAAAATGATATCAGATACAAACGGCTGAGTGGCTATTGTTAGTAGCTGGACCTGCACAGGGTCCTTGCCCGCATCCCATTGCAGCCCTTCTGTTCCTGCCAGAACCACTTGTGGGAGGAGCACTGAGTAGGCAGTGGGGGAGGAGGTCAGAGTTCACCCATACAATCTGCCTCCATCCCAGTCACCCCGGGCGACTAAATTTGTGTTTCTTCCCTAAAAATCTTATGTAAGCAAGAAGCAAGCAGATAGAGGTGGCAATAGTCTCAAACCCATCTGAGTTTCTTCGGGCTTGCTTTACTTAGAGAGGGGAGCCGTGGAGGTCGCGCTAGCCCCCTCTCCCAGCCCACCTCTCCTATTGCTGACCTGGAGGGGAGACATGGCTAGAGGGACAGGAGGCCGAGGTCACTGGGGGTCGATGGGCTGATCTGGGGTTGAACATGTGCACATCTCCATCGGGGTACACCTCACAGGAAGCACCCTTCAACTCAATAAACATAAGATGGTCATTGTGTGGACGGGGGCTGTGTTCCCCAGGCCACTCACAGGGCTTTGAATGACCACCTGGGACCCGAAGGGCCCCTGGCTGCACCCGACGAAACAGTGTTTCCAGTGTGTGGTTGCAGTTTCTGAGAGGACAGCCCTGGTGCAGGCTGTGAGCAGCGCAGACCACGAAGAACAGCGTCGTTTGCTTCTCCTTAAAAGGGAACAGATGGTGACAGTAAAACCACAGAAACAGGATGAGCCCCTGCTCTGGATGCCCTGTGCTCCAGTGACATGTGGTGGGCCAGTGGCCCCTTTCAGGTGAGGACCCCGCATTTGATGCGTTTTGTCCTGATTTAATGAAGAACACACTTGTGCTTCGTTTGCAAAGGCTTCACGAGTGCAAAGGTGTCCGGCTGCACATTCATCTCCAAACGCCTGGCCCAGCGTTTCCCTCCCTACTGGAAGCACCAGCTGACGGCAGGAACACTCAGGCCCCTAGGGGAGGGTCCCCACAGCCACATCCCTGTATAGACTAAGGGTTCCTGGACCATCCCAACCCGAGGCCACACCAGGGAGACTGGTACGGATGGTACAGCCAGTGCAGCTGTGGACACAGAGGGGGCATCAGGAGAGTCACCTCTTCTTGGGCATGTCCTTCAGGCCTAGGGAGACTGAGCTGTCCAGACTTCAAGAAGAAGCTCCTCCTCCAAGTGATGAGGTGCCCCACCCTGCCCACATCCACCTCCAGGTTTTTGGAAGCATTGAAGTGGTAATGAGAAGGCTTTGAAAACCTGTAACAATGCAGATTAATGACTGAAGATAAGGCTGCAGCATAGCCCTTCTCTTTGAAAGTACTGAGAACTGATTTTATCAATAGGCAAAACTGTCCTGGAGGCTCCGTGATGCAGAAGGGAGAATGCAGGACACAGGTGAGGCCCCCACCCTGCTCTGCCTTCCTACGAGCTGCCCAGGACTGGGGGCCACAGGGCAGCCAGAGGCCTTGGGCCAGGCTCCAGCCGCAGCTGCTGTGCGCCAAAGCTGGTCCCGGTGCATCCCGTGTTCCCCACTATCCCTCTCCTCTGGGCTTCGGTGGACAGAATGCTGCAAATATCCCTTCCCACACTTGCCAACCCTGGAGGATGAGGACACTCAGGGGACCAAGTCCAGGGGAGGGCAGAACAGTGTGTCCACAGGCAAAGTCCCTGCAGGCCCATCCCACAGGCAAAGGGGGTAGAGGGCTGGCCCACAAACAGACCTCAGCAAGGACACACTGCTCAGCATCACGAAAGCAGGGTGCCTACAAACAGCGCCTGTGCAGAGGCTCCAGGAAAGCAGACTCACCTGGTAGCGTTCACGTTGTCACAGCACCACCATTGCAAACCTGACACCACCGAACTGGGCAGATGACAAGGGGAGGCACAGTTCTAAGATACAGTTTTTCGTATTTTTACGAAGAATGCTGCCTCTGAAGTCCAATGTGCATGCGGCCCATAGGGCCCCCAAGGCCCTGCAGACCCCTGTTCTAGGCCCAGGAGCAGGACAGCCAGATGGATGCCTTCCGAGGGGAGGCCTTGCTCACGGGCAAGTGCACAGGTAATTTTCCCAGCCAGCACTCCAACCCCTCCTTCCCGAGCTCAGGCAGTGAGTGCACCCCAAAACAGACAGTCAGGGGTCCACAGTGAGGGCCACACCCTCAAGCTCCTTTCACCTTCCCATCTCCCTTGAAGCTGGAGATGTGGGGAAGCCTGTTGCTGCTGCCCAGGAGGTTGGCAGGACACCCAGGACACCCCATGACCCTGTGAGGTCGATACTCGCAGATCGCCATGGGCTGCACGGAGGAATGTGAGCCTCACCATGGCGTGTGCTTCATGGTGGTGCCAACTCCTCACGCTTCTGGGAGGCGCACAGTGAGAAGAGCCTACATGACCGGGCCTGGAGGCCTGAGCTGAGGGAGGTCTGGGGGGCCTCGCGTGCTCCTCGAGGCGCCAAGATGGCCACTGCGAGCTCCTCTCAGACAGAGTCCAGGCAGCTGGGCAGAGCAGGAGCTGGTGTCTCACTGGGCAGGTGGACAGAGCTGTGTGCTCAGGGACAGAGCCACGGCTGCAGTGACGAGGCCTGGTGTCCCAGCCAGGGGAGCCCTCCTGGGACCCCTGACGTCTGAGCATCACACGGTGCCCTGCCACCGATGGAGGCCCCCTTCGAAGGACACGTATGTGGGGAATCTGCGATTCCCATGTGGCAGGGCACGTGGACAGGCTTTTCATAGACACCTCCTGATTGGGGCACCCAGATGAGGAACAAAACTGATGCTCTTTCCCCAAAGTCAGTATGAGGCTCAGGAGGGGTCTGGGCCTCAGGCGGATGAAGCAGCTGTGGGAACAAGGAACACACCCCTTGGAGTCCTGGACGACTTTCCAAGGAGCAGATGGAGGTCGCTGGCTGAGGTGATGGCACCACTGGACACAGAGTGACCAGGACACAGGAGCAATATGTAAAGCTTGTGAGCTGGCCTAGCCCTGTTAGCTGCCTCCTGGCCTCATGAAGAATTGTCTGCATCATTCCGTCATCCCCCCAGGCACAGGGGTGGATGCTGACCAGGATGCCACCTCTGCCCTACCTTTCTGCCCTGCACACAGGCCCTTCCATGGGACCCTCACCGCAAAAGCTGGTGGGCCATCCTTGCTTCTTCTCCAGTTTCTGTGTGTGAATTGGGCTCCTGAGAGCTGCATTGTCATATCTACATCTGAAAAGGAAGTCTGCAGTCATCTGGTTAAGAGATTCCCAAAGTGTCCTGGTGGGTGGGTTACCCCAGGTTAGTCCCACCTCTACCCATGTGTGGCTCTATTACATGACCCTTTTGGGGGTGGAGCAAGTGAGTTCAGTTTCTTGTAGTCAAGAAATCCCCAGCACTCTGGGACTTCCTGGGATGATTGGCTGTGCCCGGCCCCCAGGATGCTGCCACGTGGGCAGAAAGACAAAAATTGAGACTTAAAGAATTCAGAGGTATGCCTCCTAAAGCAGGAACAACAAGAGATAACACAGAAATATTGAACTTCAAAACTGAAAACTTTCAAAGGGCACCATCAGGAAAGGGAAAAGACAACTCACGAAATGGGAAAATCATATATCATATATATATATTTGTGTATTATATATTTTATATATATCATATATATATATATATATATATATGATGAGGAACACGTACCCATAGTATATAAAGAACTTTACATCTTAACAAGTGGCCAGTAAACACATAAAAAGATACCTGATATCATTAGCCATTGGGGAAATGCAAATCAAGCAAGTGAGATACCATGTCCCACCACCAGGATGGCCAAAATTGAAAAAGTCACATACTAACAGGTATCAGAGAAAGTGTGGGGCGATAGGGCCTGGCCGCAAGGTTGTGGGACTGTGAAGTAAGGGCCGCTGTGGAAAATGCTTGGGCCCACAGACGGGTGGTTCCTCACATAGTTACACAGGGAGCTACCCCGAGACCCAGCAAGTCCCCTCCCTGGGTCACACCCAACAGAAATGGAAGCTTGTGCAAGCAAGGCTTGTGCAGCTCTGTTCGAAGGAGCCATAAAGTGTAACCCCGATGTCCATCAGCAGATGGGCGGGTAGACAAAGCGGGGTGGGCCCACACACTGGGTTTCACGCAGCTGTGAGAATGAATGGCACCCTGACGCGTGCCGCGGCATGGAGGAGCCTTGGAAATACTATGCTCAGTGGAAGGGGCCAGACGCAGAAGGCCACACATCACATGATTCCGCTCACACAATACGTCCAGAGGAAAGAAATCCGTAGAGACAGGCTCCCCGAGGCTGTCTCTAGCCTCGCTGAGGCTAGGCGTGACAGGAACATTGGGGGAGAGGCAGCGAAAGTGTTCTAAAATTGACCGGTGATGGTCGCACAAATCTATAAAGGTACTGAAAACCCTTGAATTGTACACTCCAAGTGGGTAAGTTAGAGAGTATACGATTTATATACCTATAAAACTGGTAAAGAATAAATTTAAAATCCTTTCCAGGTAATCCAGGTCAATGTGGAACACATGAGAACTTTCTGCTGTCTAGCTCTGTATGACAAGGTAAATGTGACCCCAGACACTGTCCAGCCCAGGGCAGGCCAGCCTGGGGAACATGATGAGTGGGGATGGCTTCCAGGAGCCCTCACACACCATCCGGGCCCCCTCCAGCCCTGGAGCCATCTACATTTAACAAAGACCAGAGGCTCAGGAATGAGACTCAGTGGTGCCTGCCAGCACACCTGGCCGGGTATGCCAGCCAACCTCCCCTGAGACAGTGTGCAGTGGCGGGCTTCCCAGCACCTGTGAGCATCCTCAATGGATGTCTGAGCAATGGGGAAGCGTGTCAGCCACCTCTTGGAGCCCTGGGCCTGGTCACCTGTGCTCTACAAAAGGGACAGCTGCCAGCACACCTTCCCTCCCCTCTGCATTCTTCCGCACAGCTCCATACAGGACTGTATCTGCACACAGGCTGCACGCCTGTCCTCGAATTGGTACAAGGTGATGGATAGACACAAGACATTTGGAAGGGCATTCAATCTCTAAGCTGTTACTTTGCATAACCCACAATAGTGTTATTACTATTGTCAAAAACACATTAATAGGACACATGAAACCACTGAAGATGACAAGCCATTATATTCTAAACTGAGGGTTAAGTGTGCACATAAGTTTGTTGAAGACAGAGAAAGGGGCTAAGAGAGTCTGGGAGGGTTGCCCAGAGAGAGGGGTCCTGGAGCTGGAAGGTACCCATCTTCAGGATGAGAGCCTGGCCCAGGTGCAGGCCTAGCAGAGGCCCCTGTCCCTTGGTACCAGGATGTCTGCTTGCATGAAGTAGCCTACTCTATGGCCAGACCTCCAGCTGGGGTCCTGTAGGAGGGCTAGTGGGAATGGCTCCCATCTGAGTGTGCCCACCGACTGTTCACATGCCCTGTATTTGCACCTCTGTGTGCAGCTTGGTTCCAGGCTGACGGTCACCACAGGGTCTGCAGGGGTCAGGGGCTGGTTTTGTCACTGACCAGCTGTATTCCTGGGGGAATCACATGGCACTTTGGGTCACTGTAAAATGGGTGATGACAACCTCTGCCCCTTGATGGCCTGAGAATTGGATGAGATGAAACATGTGAATCGTCCATGGCTGGACATCAACTCTTTGATGCCTGTTATCCCAGGGGCAAGGGGCAGGGAGGGGCCTGGCAAAGGGGGCTAGCTGCATTGGTGAGCTGGGGAGGCCCAGCTCCATCAAGGAAAAGAAGGTGGGCACCGGGGCAGATAAGTAGCCTCACCATAGCCGTCCATCCCCAGGGTTTGGAGCTGGCACCAGGCCACGGTGGGGTCACCCATGACTGGATGTGTGGGAATGACCACATAGTTACAGCACCTGCTGAGCTGAAACTACTGTGGGAGATATAGGTGCTTGGTGGGTGAGGGAAGTTCAGGGGAGGCAAGGGGAGAAGTTGAACAGAAGCGGCAAGCTGGGGCCCAGGGAGGAAGTGAGAAAAGATGGTTTCTCCAAAGGGGGTCCCCACATGGTGAAGGATGCCCGGGAAGGAACAGAGAGGGTGTTGAGGGAGGGAAGCGTGTGCCGGCAGCCTGTCCCTGGAGGGGGTTGAGCACAGATGGCCAGGCCCAGGGCTCCAAGAGGCGGCTGCATGCTTCCCCATTGCCCAGGCGTCCAGGAAAGACCCTGCCCCAGCCAAGGCCAAAGTCGGGTTGAGGAGTCAGTGTATAACCAGCCCACAGCCCAGTGCTCCTCATTTCCTGCCCTGAATTACCGTGGGGCAGAAAGAGGCTGGAGTTGGACCTCTGGAAAGAAGTCAGCTGGTCCATACCAGCCAGGCCAAGACTGGGAGTTGGTTCTGTGAAGAGACAGCGCCCTTTTCAGCTCCTTCTCCAAGGTCCTGCCCCCAGGGGCCTCCAGTCCTCTGAATCCTCCCTCCAAAGCTTACTCCCCCACCCACCACATCCTCAGCTACAAGAATGCAGGTTGTGTTTCTAAAGTCCTGGGCAGTGCTCCAGGGTCCTCTCCTGTGAAAGGAGGGACTCTCCGTTCCTCTAGGATTGGGGATCTCATTCTAGATGGCCTACTCAGAAGCTTTCCCCAAAAAGGTTAGCACAGAACCGAAGGGGCCCCTGGATGCTCATAGGCCGTCCGGATGCTCGTCGCTGACAGGCACCTTCCACGCCAAGTCCCGGAACTAGCACAGGCCCCAGCAGGGCCAGGCCCGGACCAGAAGACTTGGAGCCTGGATGTGGGTGGGGGTCGAGGTCCTGGGGGCGGTGCGCTGCAGATGGTGGCCGCGGGGGGCGCTGCGGGGGCCGACGTTAAAGCCCGAGCGCGGGCGTGCGCGCTCAGTGGGAGCCGGGCTGTTTCTGTTGCTGCTGTTGCCGCGCCCGCCTGCCCGCCCACCCCAGCGTCCCGGCTGTACCGGTCCCGGGAACCCCACTCCTCCGACCTGGCGCGGAGGCCAGGCGCACGGTCTATGCTGCCCCCGCGCACGCCCAGCCCGGGCACCGGACCCCAGACCAGCACCTGAGCGCGCACCCGGAGCGCGGGCGGCAGCAGGGGCTGGGGCAAGATGGGGAAATTTCAGTCCAAGCACGGTGAGACGCGGGCCTGGGGCGGGAGGGCGGGGCGGGCGCCGGCCACTTACTGACCCTTCCCTCTCCCGCGCCCTCCTTCTGGCGCGCCGCAGCCGCTGCAGCCTTCAAGCGGAGAGAGAGCCCTGAAGGTGAGCGGGCCGGGTGGGGCGGCGACCCGGCCGGGACCCCGAGCCAAGAGCCAGACGTGCATTCTGCCCTAGTGCCATCGGGTTGGGGGACGTTGCGGCGCGGTCTCCGAGAACTCATAGGATTACACCCCATCCCACCCCGACCCGGCCCCGGCTCCCCAGCTGGAGCCCTGCGCCCCAGGCCTCACGGAGATGGGTTGGCGCGCCTGGTGGCGGGGCACCTTTAAGGCACAGCGCCCGCGGGGCTCACCTCGCTCTCATTCCCTCCTTGGTGCCCGGTTCCCGCGCTTCCTCTCGCCGGGCCGCAGGGGACAGCTTCGTGGTGTCTTCGTACTCAAGTGGCCGCAAAGGCATGGTGGAGGCGGAGCGGCGCGGCGCCGTGGAGCACCGCGCGCGGGACAAGCAGGTAGGCGTGGCGGGATTCGGCCAGGAGGCTGCGCCACCGAGGCCAGGGAACAACAGTACGAGTTGTGCCCCCTCTCTGGACCCAGACCTAGAAGGCGCAGGCTGAGAAGGCCGGGAGGGAGTGATGCCAGCTGGGCAGAGAGAACCTGTTCCTTCCAGCCTCCACAGTCCAGGCTGGGTGAGGGGGTCCGGACGATGAGCCGTTAATATCCCAGGCTGGAGGCTTGGGGGGAGAGGGCACAATTTGCTTTAGGATCAAGGCTTGCACAGCAAAGATAGCCAAAATTAGAGGCCTCCCATCTGCATGGTGGTGACCACTGACCTACAGGGAGGCTCATGGGAAAGCCAGGCTCCATATGGATTAGGGAGGGGCAGGGGCACCCAGCCTGCAGGTGTTCCCAAGGCTGCAAGGGTCCTGCTCAAGTGGATTTGGAACATGTTGCTTCCAGAAGCAGAGAACTGCTGGACAGAGGGTTGTGGGGAAGCACCAGAGGGGCCCTGGGTAAACCTGACCTGCACATGTTTGCCAAGCAGGAGAGAGTGGATGTCAGATGGGCGTCAGTGTGAACTGGATCCGGGTAGATGGCCACAGCAGATGGCTGGGACCCTTACTCCCCCACTGCTTGCCCCCCAGCACCCCGCCCCACTGCTCACGGGCAGTTATCTCTGGTTTTAGAATGACGTTCTCTGGCCACTTGATAAGTGAAAAGTTCTGGATGTATTAGAAAACACTGCAGCTCACCCTGGGAAGGGCCCAGATTCGCCCTGAAATCAAACTCATACTGGAGTTAGAGTTCCCGCTTTCTGGAAATGGAGGTTTAACTCCACACCTGTGAAGGCAGGAAATGCATTTTAAGGAATTTTCTAGGGCATCATAGTGATGTTGGATGGTAACATTAGATAAACCTGTGCTTCTCCATACTGAAGGATAAGGGGGGTACCCAGGGAGCAGCCCAGGCCTGCCTCCTTTCTCCGAGGCAGGTGGGGGTGTTGATAACCAGATGGTGCCTCTTAGCTTGGTTCTCCTGTGTGTGGTGTATGAATGGGGAAGGCAGGAAGCTGTGTGGCCATTAGCTTCGTGGTCAAGGGCTGGGCCTGGTTCCACCAGCTGTGCTGCCTGGGGCCTCTTCCCTGGGGCACGGGCACGCTGGGCCTGGCAGTGTTCACGCGGTCCTTGGGACTCTCTGGGGACTCACTCTCATTTGTTCAGAAGGCAGCAGCAGCAAAGAGGGGAGTTCCAGCAGCACCCGGCAGTGCTTCTTCTGGGCTGAGGGGCTCAGTGGGAATATGTCCTTGAAAATGAAAACACACTAGTGTTGCCGTGACATTGTCAGAGCTGGAGTTGGAACTGGCTGATTGGACTCCCACTCCCGGGACATTTTTTGAAAGAATGGCATAGGAGTTGGCTTGGGTTGTTCCCTTTTCATTTTGTTCTCTGCTGTGGTCTGAATGTTTGTGTTCTCCCCCCAATTCATGTGTTGGAATCTAACCCCCAAGGTGATGGTGTTAGGAAGTGAGGCAATAAGAAGGTGAGTGGGCCACCAGGGTGGAGCCCTGACGGATTACTGCCCCAGAGAGCTCCCTGTCAGGTCTGCCATATGAAGACACAGCAGGAAAGTGCTGTCCCTGAATCAGAAAAGGGCTCTCAGGTCATGCTGAATCTGCTGGCACCCTGATCTTGGATGTCCAGCCTCCAGAACTGTGAGAAATAAATTTCTGCTGTTTATATGCCACCCAGTCTGTGGTAATTGTTGAAGCAGCCTGAAAGGATTAAGACGTGCTCATTTCATGAAAGAACGTTCCTTTTAACACCAAGACGTAGAAAGAGCAAAATCTCAGAATAGAAGGTGGTCCTTTAAATGAAATACATTTTAGCTTTATGACAATGGTTCTACTTTTTCCATATCTTCCTCCTTTGGCCATGGTGCTGCAAGCCCCTGGCCAAGCACCAGCCTGAAGTGTAGACCTGGGCCAGGCACACCCTGCCACCGATGCACAGGTGTCCTCGCCACCGCCATGTTGCTGCTCCCCTGCTTGTCAGGCAAAGCTGGGTGCACACGGGGGTGGCTCCTGCCCAGGTTCAGTTCGAACCGTGCCTAACCAACCCTGCTCCTGGTTCTGCCCCAGAAATTGCTTGATTGGGGGACGTCTGGGTGTCGAGTCCTACACATCTCCTGTTTCCAGCCCAGTGTCCTGTGCCCTTCCCTTTGTGTGGTGCCCAGAACTCCATCCTTCATCTCTGCCCTTCCAGGTGATACCCCCAAGGAAAGCCTGCTTGGATCAGGCAGCCCACTCAGTGAGTGTGATGTGCTCCTCCCTTCCCTGAAGTTCACCTGCATGTCCATGCAGGTCAGCCCCGATGCACCATGTTGCCCAAGAGCTGTGGCAAATGACCACATGGTAATAAAGTGCATCTAACTATCACCTGCCCTCCCCCACCTCCCAACATAAAGGAAATGAAGTTTGTTTTGCCCATTAATTTTTAGTGAGCTACGTCGGCTCCTGGTATCTGCTTAGTGCACAGCTAAAATATTCTTACAGATACTAGCTTTTTCCAGGCAGGTGCACTCCCTGCTTCACAGTGTAAAATGATGTTCCATGTTGATTCTGAGAAAAGCTTCAGTCTGCTCATGGCAGGAGCTGCATCACCTCATTGCTGAGTACCCTGCAGGGCCAGGGCTGTGCCAGGGTGATGGGGGATGTTGGCGAGCACAGCACAGGGAATCTAAGAAGTGGAGCAGCTGAGGTCATGCGTGTGTTAAAATCATGAGAAGTGGCAGGCAGTAGCACCAGCAGCACGTGGCAGTACTATTTCTGAAGGTGGAGCCAGCACAGAGCAGCGGGGTCGCGGTTACAGGTGGGGGTGGCCGAGGAACAGAGGCATCACGGCGAGGCTCTGCGGAGACACGGCTGTCCCTAAGCTGGCAGCATGCCCCTCCCTGCACACCGTTGCTTGCCATCTGTCTGCCTCTCTGCAGTTTCTCCCGTGGAAAAGTTCGGAAGATAAGAATCACTCTATCAATTGAAATTTTTTTGTGGATAAAACACAGATTTCCACCAAGGAAGCCTGAAAAAGGGATGTTTTGGCCACTTTGGAGGTGGTGATTTAACTGAGACTTGAACAGAAGTGTGTGAGTCCAGGAGGCCAGTAGGGCCTTGGCCTACCGAATGGTGGGACTCCCAGCTGTCTGCTTCTCAGCTCCCAGGACTTTTTGACAGGCAGCTGGGAAGGGCTCTGCTCGTACTGTCTTGGGTGGGTCTCAGCTTTAAGGATCCACACACCAGTTCCACACATATACATGTGGCAGTTTTGCATGTGCCGACATTTTGCACATGTTCCTGATGGAGGCAGCCTTGCAGGGACTCAGGATGGTGAGCCCTGAAACCCCACAGAGAGACTCACCTCTGGACAGGGCTTTGGCTTCCAGCAAACTCCATCTGCCCTGCATGTAGTCTTGTCCACAGGTGGCTTCTCACCGCTTTTGGAATCTGGGGATTGGACCCCCCTTGTCCTGGCAGCAGGCTTTTGTCCCACACTGGTGCGGCAGGGCTGCTCCGTCCTGCTCACCTGGCAGCCCAGGAGCCAGCGCTCACCTGCCCACCTACCCACCATACCACCAGAGCACATGGCAGCCGCAGGATTTAAAGATCTTAGGAGTGGTTGAGATGTTAACTGTGACTTCTTGTTGAAATCCCTGGGAAGTTCCCTTGGCTTTGCACAAAACCTGGACGCCACCGCATCTGCAGTCAACACGGCAAACTGTGATGTGGGTCGGGGAGTAAACCACAGGTTTGCAGGAGACACCCAAGAGGGACGAGGAGGTGTGGATGCCATGGCTCGTCCTTGGCTATCTGGCCACAGGCCTCATGAAAGGAGACTTTTAGTGAGACAGGTGCAGGTCCTCCAGCCACAGTGCAACTCCTCAGGATGACCTTGGTTCTTCTGTGACCTGTGCTCTGGGACGTTAACCTCATGGAGTACCAGCCCTTTGCGTGGTGTCTGGGCATCAGGGCTGAGAGCTCTTCACTCCTTTTGGTGTCCGTGGTGGGAACCACGACACCAGCAGCCATGTCCCTGCCCTCACACCTGGCCCTACTGTGCAGTGAGGCCGGCACAAATATGCACAGAAGCCAAATATGCACAGAAGGCACATGTGGATGTGGGAACACTGACAACGGTCCGGGGGGTCCAGGCCTTACCAAGCACCAGGGGCTCTTCCCCAGGTCAGCTGCATCAGCCCCTCACGCCCACCCATGCTTCTGAAGTTGCAAATGGCTCTCCCAGACGCCACTGTACCTAAGGATGAACCAAGTGGTCCCAACCAGTTCACACCTGAGGAGCCACCAGGCTACTCTGTGAGTAATACCTCCTAGAAAGGGGTTATAGGACTGACCCAAGGACCCATATGAGGGAGCTTGCTGCTCTGAGTGTGTTTCCAGAGTACACAGCTAAAGTTGCCATCCTTTCCTCACCTGCAGACGTGGACAGGTGCTGTCTGCAGGCGGGACTCTCTAAGAGGGGAGGATCCACCGTACTCACCTGGCTGTCCCCTGTGTGGGTGGGGATTGCAGGAGGTGCTGGGACCATCTGTAGGCATGCAGCCAACAGCATCAGACACTCGGTAGGGGATGAGGGAAGTATGGATGGCTGGATGCTGTGTACCTGCACCTGCCCTAACCAGGTGCCCCTGGAGGGGCTGCTGCGGATGGTAGTTCAGCCAGCCAGGGTCAGTGTGTGTGCCCACCTCTCATTAGCTCAGGTGTGGGCACCCTCATGATGTGTGTCAAGGACTCTGATGTCCGTGAGGTGAGACTAAGCTGGGACTCTGGCCTTGGGGATAGGCCAGCAGGTCTGTGATGGCCACAGTGGGGCCAGAGGCCGGCTGCAGAGCCTCTCCCCCATGCCAGGACAGGAGTCAGCAAAGGCACTTTTCCTGACACGATGGTTTTGGGAGAAGCTCCCAGAGAGCTATTGGAAACACAGCACATGCTACTGGCCTG